AGCCTGAAACCATCATGGAAAAGAGTTCACGACTCGTTCACGAAGTCATGAACACCTGCCTTCCCCCCCCCCCCCCCCATCACGCAGGCGTCAGCTTCCTCTGCGGGTGCCTCCAGCACCTGACCTCCCAGGCCTTTTTGTCAGTGGCGAGTCCTATGGCCAGCTGCCATGTCACTCGAAGACCCATTTTGCAGCTCCTGGCTCGACTAGTGGCTTGTTTCAGCACCCTCCATGGCCAGCATGGCTACTGCTAGGATTCTTGGGCCCCCAAGCATCTCCGAGCAAGAAAATCTGGGGCATCAAGATAAACAAAGGTAAGTCAGTCCATGAATGCACCAAACAGTTCAGAGCAGCCTGGCCTATGGCACCAGTGACAGCGAGATCCGAGGCCGATATGCTGGCAATGCTTTGTTATGCACTGTCCGCTAGCAGAACACCATGTCCGTAAGCAAGCTGCGGTGTGGTAGTATGTTGTGGTGTGGACACGCCAGTCCAGGAAGCCTGCCCAGGAAGCCTGCCGTGCCTTGCAGAACACGAGAGTTTGCATGCGCATCGGAGGCACCTTGCCATGACCAACACCTCGGACACAGTCATGGACAAGCGCTTGCATGGTGGCATAGTTCTCACAAGCTGCGGCCTTGCTGCAGCCTTGTGGTGCCGAAGCCCAGCTTTTCGAAGGACATCCGCACCATGCTCCGACTCCGAAGACTCCAAAGAAGACGTTTCACCGCATTGCACGGAACTTGTCGCGAGAAGATGATGCAGAAGGGGTGAGGCGGCCGAAGTCGGAGTCTTGGGTGCCAAGGGAGTGTCACAAAGATTTGCAGCATGCTACTCAAGCCGCTAGCCATCTATCCCTGAAGAAGCATCAGCCTGGCTCCGCGAGGAAGCAGAAAAACGAACCACGCTTAGCGAAGCCTTAGTCCTTAATGATTCATTCTTCAGACAAGTTACACATCGCGAGACCTAGCAATTAGCTTCAGGCTTGGTTTTGAATGACATGTGGTCAAGGACGATGCAAAGATCGGCGCAAGCAAAGCCCTCCGGATCCTGGACAAGATGCAGGACCGGTGTTTCCCGATTGCAAGCCCTTTGTGGGCACCAAGGGGGCCAAGTGAGGTGTGCTGGACGTCCGAAGAAGCCAAGGTTGGTGCGTCACTGGCGCAGACCATGGAGAGCTTTGTATCCAGAAAGATTCGGTTTATGGCGCAGCTGTTGTGACTTGGCAGATGTATAACGATCTGCGTATGACAATAACAATAAGTACCCCAGTTGTGTTGCTAAAATCTGGAATGTCAGAAGAGTTTCTGGTAGTGGGACAGGTCTTGCCACAAGTTGCACGAAGTTGTGAGTGGCCTGGAACGCTGATCGCAGCTGCCTGACTCAATTTTTCCCCGCAGGGGATGTCAGCATTCTGCCATGTTCTGACTTGTCTCGTCCTCTTCATTTCTCTCTCGCACTCGCTCTCTCGCTCTGGCTTGTGCAGTGAGTGATAGGGTGTGTGTAGAGCACCGAGGCAGTCAGCCGCACCTATTTCTATACCTTCCTGAATTTCGCGCTGCAGGCGGGCCGATTTCTTCCACGGCCTTTTTCATTCTTGAGCCATGCAGCTGCTGCTGGTGGCCACAGTCCGCTTACTTGTCATGCTAGTCGTAATGTTGCAGTCAAAGGGGTCGGTGGCGTGAAACATGCTCGGACCATGTTCCGTCGTGTCCTCCAGAGCATTCCACAGCGTCTATAAGTTTGAGGTCAGCGCAAGTTTAGGGCGAAACCTGCTCAATTTGTTGAGATACCAATGCAATCCAATTCGCTGCTGAGTGTTCGTGTGCATTGTATTCTGTTTATGTGGTGGCAGAGGCTTTCCTGCTCAGCATGATTGCCGAAGAGCAGCATTTCTGGAATCTCGGGCAAAAGTAGATGGTGAATCTGGCTTCCCTGTTCTTTCCCCGGCCTCCAGTGGCCTCATTTGCCGTTAGGCGCATCAAATCGCAAAGCCAGGATGGGTATGTCATTTGGAGCGCGAAGCTTGTAGGACGTGGTTGTGTGCTGTGGCTGCTGTCCATCCAATTTTTCGCATGCGGCCAAGCCAGTACCTCCCGATGCACTCAGGTACCCTTTCGCTGGGCAAATGCACCTGTGCAATTACGGTGCATCTATGCAGGACTGCGACTGCCCTCTCATGTGTTTCTGGTATCGGCAAGCTGCACGTCCTTGTCTTGTTCGTCTCGTCAAGCCTTTCATTGGCGGTTGCCAGTCTCCCAGCCAGGACTGTCCTGGTGCTCCAAACTGCGTGGGGCCTGGAGGAACGGCACTGTCCTACCCCAGGCTTTACGACTATGCGCGGTGCTTAGAAATCGCCTGAGATACGCATGTTCTTCCTGGCCTGAGCACCCAGGACATTTGGAGCACAAGAACTTTCCTGAAGCAGAGCATGCAGGCAGGAGACGCCAAGCCTTTTTCTCGCCAAATTGCCTTGAGCATGAAGCACCTCCGAAGGCTGTCCTCCACCTCGCTCCGGAGAGCATCGACCATGTGGACGCCGGAGAGTCTGCGGCTTATCCTGCTTTCGTTGAGGATTTCGAGCAGAACCGCAGCCAGTTGGTAGATGCTGCGGTGTCCAGTCCATGCTACAAAGAAACGGGGTGGAATGAGCAACGATTGGCCCCGACTTGCAGCATCACAGCATGCACGGCCGATACATCTGTGAGCACAGTGGCAACCGCATGCATCGCTGCCAGCAGAACCGCCAGTCCCACAAAGATCCTGATACCCGAAGGGCTTCACTGCTCCGAACCGCATGTCAATGACATGTGTGATCTCGGGCGTGCACAGAAAGATGCACCGTGAACACCTGGCCGCAACGGTATGAATGGTCGGTGAAGCATGCGGGTTTAACTACCTGCATACTCATATCCTTGCCACGTTGAAGGATCCCCAAAGGATCGGTACTCTAGTTTGGTAAGTCACAGATGCTTCCACCGCAAAATGTCTATCATCTGAAGTTGGTCCAAAGTATTTCGCAATGCTGCGCACCAGGTACGGGATGGAAAATTTCAACTGCCGACGCTTGGTTGAGTTTATTTAACTTTATTGCATTCTTTTTTGCAATACACCTAATGCTTCCAGAGCCCTCGCTGCACTCGAAGGTCCAGCAAGGTTCAGCTGTGGCTTGAGACCTGAGGCTGCCTGTGCATTTTCCTTTTCATGCTCGCTGTCGTGGATGACCTCGAAGACAACATCAACTTGACCAGGACAAGCTGCACCAACATGATTTTATCTTGCGTTTCGATTGAGCCAAGTACGCGGTCAAATCTCGTACGTCCGAGTTCATCCAATCTGGAAATGTAGGTGAACCAGAAAGCCAACATTTGTGATATCAGTTCCCAGACTCACACACGCACAGGACTTTGGCGATGGTTCCAACGAGCAATGCGAGTTGGATCGTCTTTGACGTTCCCGATTGGGGTAGCAAGGAGGATGTGAAGTGACTCGATTGAAAGTCGAGAGAGCCTTGCATGCCTTCCCTTACATGCGTGAGACCATGCTGATGCGCGATGATGCCTGAGAATACAGGACTCTTGGCAGGCTGGTGCATAAAAGCAAAGGAGCGACAGGTCAGCTGCCCCAAAGGAAGTGAGCCAAAAAGGAGGACCTGAGGAGCTTCAAGACCTTAGGGGAGGAGTGCGCAGTTTGCCCCTTCGTCGAGATCGACTGCTCAGAAGTGCTTGGACGCCCTTTGACGCCTCGCATCTGTCGAAAAAGCAAGACAAACAGGCACGCCCCGCGGCCACCTGGCGATCGTAACACGAACACTCAGACCTCAGAGTTTATTCAACTGCGGGAGCCCCGGCATCAGTTGACATGGGAGCGCCAAGAGTGCCGGATGCACGTCTTGCTTGGCACTCACTGCATGCGGCGCGTTGTCGATGGCTTCGAGTTTTTCACAACAAGACAATCCAAGATACATGTCCCTAAGTTGGCATTCAACATTCAAAAAGCACTTGGCAAGGACTTTGACTTGATTCATGTCTCCAGTTTTTTGGCGATGTGAGCGATCATGGTGGTTCATGCTGCAACATCCACATGAAGCTTCTCCAACCAAGGGCAATGCACGACTCGGAGGAGAAGGATTTCATTCACTACGAAGTCTCAGGAATGCCGCTACATTGGAAGTTGTTCAACGCCCTTCGGATGCAAAGCACTGCTGTGAAGCCGGAAGCACGCCGTAGACTGCTCATGCTGGTTGTTGCAATTCTGATTTCTGGCAGCTATGCTTCGACACCCCATTGCCCAAGCGCAATAAAGGCGTGCTTTATCCTCTTGCCCAAGATCCTACTTTGGCTCGCATTGGTCCGCTCCGGTGTTCACTATCTGATGGAGACTGCCGGGATCGTTGATGTGGTGGTCAACGCGATGGCTTTAACCTTTGTCTTGCAAGTTGCTTGGTTGACGCAGGTCAAGCAGTGCTGCGTGATTTCTTGCATGGCAGGTTCATGCTTCGGTCGGCCCTGCAAGCTTTTTTGAGAGCTTTGCCATGCCATCAGAGAAGCTGAGGTGGATGAGATTGTTTTCCAGAGGTTATGCTCAACAGTGACCAAAGACATCATGTGTCTGGCCTTGAACATGACTCGTAGTTTTCAAGACAGCGCAAGCATATCGAGCCATCGTCTCGCATGCAACCGTCCCATGCGCCCAAGGGCTTCCTTTTCCCTCGTAAGGTCGAAGCTGGAGCCAAGAGCCATGTATGACTTGGACGAGGCCTTGTTGCGAGGGTGGGGACAGCCTCCCAGGGCTTTTGGAGAGGTCGACAAGGAAAGCGATGCAGAAGCACTGGCCTACTTCAACGAGGTGGAGCTGAGGAGAGGTTGGAAAAGCACCTTGACCGCCTTGACTTGTGCCAGCTCGCCCACAGAAACACACAACGAGCATACGAGTGCTGTCGCCATGCTCTCGCCATGAGCCGATTCAGCCGATATGAAGTCGATAGACACATCAACTAGCGAAAGCTGGGAGCAACGGCTGCCCATGGCCGATGGCTTCTTCGTTTCCAGGTGTCCTTTTCCAGATCTTCCCGATGAGGATGCTGAGTCCTCAGAGAGACTACATTTCCGGCTCAGTCATGGCCATTGCCAACTGCCGTCTTCAGGTTTATCATCATACTCTGCCAATGCTTGTTCCTGCATCTTGGATGCCGCATTGAAGTTGAATTCAAGCTGCAACTCGAGCAATGCTACTGCTGTGCAAGTCCCGGATCCTGGTATGTCTCAGGTTGGACTATTATATGTCCAACTGTGAAAAGCTCAAGGATGGCAGCTGGGTTTCCAAGGCAAGGCTTGCGACTTCGCTCGGTGGGTCATCTCGGCCGAGTGGAGTTGCACAGGATATGCACCTGCCCGTGGACATGACCTACAGTCCGCTATCTTTGATGTTCGGAATGCTTAGAGCCTCTCGCCTCACAAGCTTGCAAGCCTTTCGGTCAGATTTCAATAGCTCGCATGACCGGTCTTTGACCAGGAGCAAGACACAGCTTTTTGGACGATGCCGAAGTCGTGAGATCTGGCAATGTACATAGCACCAGAAAGCCAGCCTGGAGGTGTGCTCACAAAGTTGAGTCAATGCCCATCAACGAGAGGGACGCTTTCGTGCTTCCCGAATTGTAGAAGCACTGCACTTTTCCATCATTGGAAAGAAGCTTCCCCACTCGCACTGAAAGGATTGCTGCGAATGCACTGCTGCGAAGAGGAACGTCGGACCGCTGCGGGTAACTCTTGCTTGTCCAATGCCGGGCACAGGCTCACGCAGCGCCGCCTGCACTTGCCTTCTTGTACAAAGCTTCGCACTCGAGAAGCTGTGAGCGGAACGAGCTAGGCGAGCGTCGCTGCGAGCTTGCAAATGAGATGCGGCCAAGAGATGGTCACCGGCACCAGCGCTCAATCTTCTGGTCACCCTGCTTCCATTATCCCGAGGAGAAGACGCCAGCGCCCGGTTCGAATAGCAACGTCGAGCCAAAGGCAGGCAAGTGCGTTGCAGAGCTCCTGCTACTCATGCCGCATGACTTATACATTCATGAAAAACCAGTGTCGGCTTTTAGCGGCACACACACTTGTGCTCCTCTCGGATGCGACTGCTTCCCGACGGTTTGGCCATAGTCGTAAGGAAAAGTACAACGCATCATGCACTGCGACTTGCAACTTGGACTATTCATTCTGCTCTTCGTGTTCCACAAGCCCGACTCCAAAGAATCCGGTCAACACCTGCACAAGCAAAAGACTGCAAAAAGGCAACCCTGAGGCCCTGTGGACGGCTTTGGTCATTCGAGTCCACGATTCGCACATTGACAACAACATGACATTGCTGGAATTTCGCTATGTACAACACTCGAATCAGGGATCGGTTCATCTGGAAGAGAAGACCTACCTACTTCAATCACACACTTCGTCATGCTCTCTCAAGTTTACGGCGATTTGACAATCAGCTTCAGACGCGTGCTGAGAGTTGCTTAGACTAGCTGCCCGCTGAAGCTTGCTTTCCACTTAATCGGGGGAATTCCATATTTTGCGGGAGGTGTTCCGATGCGCGTTCACAAGCCATCTAACACAAGTACACAAGTGTTTGTTCTTGTGTGGATATGTACACATATGTGCTACCAGTACAATTTTGAAGAGCATTTGGAACGCAACAGCTACCCGCAGTGGAGTTGCAATGTAGCCGGGAACAGCGATTCGTTGACTGACGGATCCCTCGAAAGATATTGCGAGATGCGGTCAGCTCGCCCTCTCCAGTGCCCAGAATATATGCTAGCAGTACCCAGGATGGGACGTTGGCTACTGGTACGGCCTGGTTGTTGTGTGAATGCTTCTTACTAGCAGTTACTAGCACCTAAGCTGCAGCTACGCAGGCACAGAGACATAGACTTGTGAAGACTACTGTGGGACGCAAATCATGGGCGCCATCGGGCAGCTGCCTGCAAAGGTTGCCCAGCACATGCGCGCATGAACCTGTGCAGGGCCAGAGGCAAGTTTTTGCTCCACCAGTCTCACTAAGCCCAAGACGAGACAGCTTGGTCGTTGCAGCGGGGACACAAAGGAATGGGACAACAAAGCCGCAAAGACTGCATTCTCGGTGTAGCAAGAAAAGAGCCGAGAGAAAATGAAAGATGCAGGTTCGGAGTTGCAGGTTCAGGCGAATCTAGGGGACATGAGTCGCAAGGTTTCGCTTAGCGTCTTTCGAACATTTGTTTGCAGTAAGCGTGCTGCATAAATGGCAAAAAAAGCAGTAAACAATTGTTTGGGAATGGCAGTGCAAACCTCCATGTCTCTACATGAAGGGAGAGCAGTGTAAGCCGTGCAAGCAGCAGGAGTAGAGAGCCGAGCATACGGAAACCCTCCGTTACCTCTTTTCATCAAGGGTTTCGTGATGGCCACGACGACGATGAATATTGCGATGCCACCTGCTACGTCTTCTTCCGCTACTGCTGCTACTACTACTACTACTACTACTACTGCTACTGCTACTGCTACTGCTACTACTACTACTATTACTACAATCTGCTGGGAATTTAGAGCAATAGTTTGAGAAGCAAATCTTGGTAAATCTTGTCAGCTCTGCTCGGCCACTGGTCAACTTGGTCATCTTGCGGGGGGCAAGATGACCCTGCCATCTGGCAATCTTGGTAATCTTGCCCCACTTGCCCGACTGGTTTTCCTTTTCGACAGGGATGGCCAGGATTGCATGGTCATCTTGTCCTCCCCTTCAAGTTTGGCGAGATGGCCAAGATCAAATTCCCGGCGCGCTACTACGACTACTGCTGCTGCTGC